TTCTAAAAGGAACAATTGCTGTTTGCCACAGTATTAAATCACTCAATGTTTGACATGTCAAAATGCATTTATCAAAGTGTGTGTGCGTGTATATGTCCACACTGTCCACCCTTCATGTAGTACCCACATTAACCATTCATAAGATATATTGTTATATTAATTAATTACTCTCCTATGTTGTGTGTTCAGCAGCCCAGCCAAACCTGAGTCTTTGCCACCCTTGGAAGCTTGTTTAGCACAGTTGGCTCTGCCTGTTCAACTTTCCCATCTAAAGCTGAGTCGCACCCAGTCAAACAGTACACCCTCCACCCCAGAGATGCGAGTGCACAGACAGCTCTCCCTCAGGTAGCTATACCTCACACACATCTGCATGTTGAAATTGCACCCTGTGTGGTGCTCCTTTACAGAATGGATTATTTAAGAATATAGTTAAAGTTATTAAAGCCTCACGCAGTTTCTTTGCAAAGTAGCTTTGTTATTGTGTTTGTTATAATTATTGTGGTTTGCACAGGCTGTCCTCTCCTGACTCTGCATTTGAAAAGGAGCGCGGTCGCCCCCGAGGCCCGAGGAGGCGGCTGACCGAATACTCAATAACTTTACCAGAGACTCCATCTCCTACACTGAACTACAGAAGCCATGCTAGCTCTGAGGACAGCAACTCTGAAAACTCGTTTCCTTCTTACAATAGCTCCCCGTGTCGGGAATTGACCGGTGATTTGCCCAAACAATTTCCATCTGCATTCCTGCTCCCCAGCCCAGTTGGCAGCTATGGACCTCAAGCTTTCCCGCATGCTGGCTTTTACCGTAATCCCCGGCAGCAGCCCAGTCCTGGTATTCCAAAAGCCTATTACAATGAAGAACTGATCTACAATGAGATGGATATGCCACGGAGCTATTTCCCCCAGCAAGCTCCTTGTTCCTCGAATAGATATGATTATAGATATAAAGACACTGCAGTACCTCACCAGCGAGTACAGAGGCCTTTTGCTCCTGATATTAGAATCACCCCGCCAGCAAATTGGGACCATCCACACTGCCACGCTAATGGTCTCCCACGACAAGCAGTGAACGAACAGCTAAAGTCGTGGCACAGACGCAGTCAGCAAAGAGCACCCAGGTCTCGTTCCCTTGACAGACAGGGAGCAGTGCGGATGAAAAACGTGTTTGTCGGAGAGTCGCCCTGCTACCAAACTCAGCAGTACCATGAGCAGGTAAATGAGCTAAGCTTATTCTTGTTTTCAAAGCATTTCATTCTGCTTTCTTTAATAGAGTCATAAGTAGGTGAGAAATTGAACAATACGTAAATGCTGATATGATACAGACAAAATGTTTGCATTGTGATGATCTGACACAGTAACACTGTTCACCTGTCTCCGTTTTTTTAAATGCTGGCAGCTGTTTGAAGTGAAAGTGAACAATTACTTTGTGTTGCTGCGACAGGGAGAATACGCTGCTTTTCACTGCTGTACGTACGTCTCAACATGTTCATCTTTTCTTTCTGTTGATCATTTCCAGGTTATTCAGAGAGGAACTCTCCACAGAGCTGTAGAGGGTGCTCAAGGCCGCTGGTTTGGAGAGGACGCCTCTCACTTTTACAGCCAAGTATAAAGAGAAGAAACTTGGATGCCAAACTTAACTCTGTTAATGTAAAGGCAGCATATTTTCCCATTATACCAAAGTGAGATAGAAAATTGATATAGAGGAATTTTTTATTTCTAAAAGGATTTCTCATGAAAGTTTTTGTTATCCTGGAGTAAAAAATTGGAGCGTCTTACAAAACAATGTTACATGGCACAGCACTAACTATAGTTTCCAGGTTACCATAAATCAGACATCCTCAGAAATGTGAGTGCAGTGTTTGTTTGATTTTCTTTGTTTTTTGGCCATTTTAATATTTATAGGTTAAGCATTGATCTGAATGCCAGTGAATTACTATTAATGAAGCAGCCAGCTAAATTTAGGTCAATCCATTGATTAAACCTTGCAGGTTTCTTATCATTCCTTCACATCTGAAGCAATCAAACAAAATGAAAAATGGAGGAAGAGATGACATGAGATCCTACAAAGAATCAGCTACCAAAATGTGCGTAGTGTAGTCAGATGTAAAGTTGTATTAGAAATGAATCTGGGATGAATTGATAATGCCAGATTAGTATTGAACTACCTTAGGTACTTTAGATCCACACTAACATGTTTTTGTTTTAAAACACAATGGATGTGCGTCCTGCATCTATAACATGCAGAATTAAACAGGGTTTAAAAAATAATGCTTTATGGTGCCTTAAATGCAGTAATGTGGACATGATGTATAAATGTATTTAAAACAAGAAAATACACGTGTTAGCACGGCCTTAATGTAACATAGATGTGGTTATCTCTAGCTTAAAACAAACCAAATAATTAATCATTTTGAGAAATGTACCCCCAGACAGAGAAACTAAGTTTCTGCTGTTTGCTAGTTGGAAAACTAATATACTCATTTTCATTCTACCTGTATGAAGGAAAGGAGTCTACTGTCAAAATAATGTAAATTAGCAACACATCCTTTAAGTGTGTGTTTGGGTTGTTGTTGTTTTTTTTTTATCATGTTGCCTGAGATTAATGAAGTCACAGTTTTACTGAACTTGTGCTGCTTTATTTCAAGATCCCAGGTTTGACCTCTTTATCACATACTTATGCAGGCAAATTTGTCTCAATGTTATACTTGTTACAACTGGCACAGCTACAGAAACATTTGACTTGAACTAACAGACTTAATCAGCTAGTTGAAACTAGACACTAACTCATCCATGTGGGATGGTGGCAAATTGAGCAGAGGCTTGAGGCTTGGCAGCTATTAGTGTGCCAAATTGTAATGTTTTGAACTTCATCCGTGCCTTTACCTGCGTCTGAGAGAGCAGCTCACTAACCTTTCTGTTAGCAGCAGTAATAGTTTGACATTGAGGTAGACACAAACACTCCAAGCCCACCACTCTCAACCAAACAAACTTCAAATAATAGATATTTGAGAGTCCGAGTCATGTAGAGCGAATTCAGCTACAGATACACACTGACTGGTCTCTCACAGTAATCTATTTATCTTAATTTATTGTGATTTGCACCACTGGACCTGTGAAAAGTCAGACTTGAAATTAAATAAAATATGGACCAGAGTTTGCAAAACAAATCAGGTGTCTAGTTTACAAAAAGAAAAACAGACCACAATCATGTTACCCTTTGTGTCTCTTTTTTTACTGTCTTTTTTATTTATCATTTACAGTAGTTTAAGTGGAGTTATTGTGTTATGTTGCTGTTTTAAAAAGAAATCTGTGAAAGTGTTTTCCCTGTGGAGATAAATAAAGATTATTGTTTGAGTATTGTTGAGTTTAATTAGCTTATATTGTGTGTTGTGACGGGATCTTTGTAATACAAATACTTCCTGAAGACATTCTGACATGTCAAGGTAGAAAAAAATTGATGTAAATGTACGCAATTATGGCCATATTGTTGCTTGAATTATTAATTTTCAAGATGCTGGCTCACTATCACACTCTGGTTGTCCTCGGACACAACTGATCATGTGCCTTTTGTGCCATTTACCTTTGAAAGAGCAAGGATGGCATACGATCATACAAAATATGACTGAGAAATAAGAAGAGGAGCTAACAAAATATTAATTATGAAGTTAAGTGTTTTGGGGATGGTTTTACATTTAGAGTAAATGTGCTGATGCTAGAATTTTTATATAAACTTCACAAATACAGAAAATGGTGTGAGATGAAGTAACACACTACTTAGTCATTTATGATTAAAGTCATCCTCATTGATGTGAGTGGAATGTTTTTGTTTTTCTTTGTTTTTTGGCCACTTTAATATTTACAGGTTAAGCATTGATCTGAATACCAGTTACTATTAATTACTATTAACATTAATTATTATTAACATTGAAGGGAGAAACCCAATTTGATAAACTGTAAATAGAAAATTTTGCATTAATATTTGAGACATTACCCATAACAGCAGGTGTTTTATATCTGAGATGGTAAAAAAAAATATTACCATGTATATTCTTAGTGTTTCCAGAAAACTGCACAAGTCTACTTTTAATCCCTCTGTCATAAAAGGCTGATGGGTTATTATCATCAC